TTTAGGCTGCGGTCTAACCTCAGATGAGTGACCCAGTTCAGCTTGAAGCAGCTCTGTTTCCTAGTTATCTGTTTCATGTTACTTTTGATTCTAGTTCTGGGAACTTCGCCATTAGGTGAAGGTTGCAAAGTTGCTAAGAGACCTCCAAAAAGTGTTTTCTTCTTCTATTTTAAGAGTAATAAAAGAATTCTTGTGCAGTGCATTCATTAGACTCACACAGAGAACTGTGGTGGATTAAGGCCACATGCTTTGTGAGCCACATTTAATTAGTATACAGATTCTCTTCTCATTATGTAGGACAGATACATATTAACTACATATAATATGCATGTCCTTTTCACATTGATCTCACATCAGGGTGGATACTCACCTGACACATACATCAGACCTCCATGTACTGTGCCAGCGTGTCCATAGTGAGGTTCACTCATCGGTGCAACAAAAGTCCACTCATTCTTGTTCAAGTTGTAGCACTCCACCGAATCTGAACAACAGACAGTTTTCTGTTTTTCCACAGTATTTTAAGACAGGACAGAACATTTTGTACAGCGTAATTGGTAAAACATGTTCTTACCAATCTCCCCAGTGGCATTTCTCCCTCCAACAGCATACAGCTTCCCCTTAAGAGCGCTCAGATGGAAGAACGTCCTCTTCTCATTCAGAGAGGCCACCTGCAACCAGCGGTCAAAGCGAGGATCATACCTGTACGCGCTGTCCACAGCTGTCTTACCCTTGGTGTCGTAAGTGCTCTGACCTCCCACAATGTAAAGAAAGCCCCCTAAAAGAGCCACTCCGTGCTGGTAACGTGGCACCTCCATAGGTTGGAGCGACCTCCAGGTGCCTCCGTCTTCCTCATCGTACAGCTTGAGCTCTTTGCTGACCACCAGCTGCTGCCTCATCACACCACCCAGAACCACCAGGTGAGTGCAATCGGATCGAATCCGGGTCCGCTCCGTCTGGAGCGCCGGCTGGAGGAAGGGAAGCATCTGATAGTTGCTGGCCTCCAGGAGGAGGTTGACACAGGCCGTGTCTGATCGCATGAATGGCTCCCCTTCTTCTTTTCCTCTGCTCACTGCTCCTTCTTCTTCAGTCTGGTCCTCCTGAGAGATCTGGAGGAGCTCAGCAGGGGACATCAGAGGGAAGCGGATGTGGCGAACCAGAGAGTAAGCCGCAGAACGCCGCTCGCTGGGTTTATGGGACAGCCAGGAGCGGGCGATGCGGTACAGCTCCATTTCGGAGAAACCCTTCAGAGAGTCACTGGAGAGGGTGTACGTTATGCTCGCCTCGGACAACTGCAGGAGGCGGCCGCTCTGCACCAGCCCGGAGAAGTTCTCGCACACAAACGTGTGGATGTGTTCTTGGACATCTTCCAGAAGAAGATCCCTGGCAATGCGCTCAACTTCCACACAGTTTTCTATAGTGATCTGGCATGTAGAAAACGTGGCTTATTACGTCACGCACAGATGAATAATTCACGCAAAGGAAGAACAAACACCACATCTTAAGGGTTTATACCTCACTGCTGAGTAGCTGATTGCAGAAGCTGAGAACGGGAAGCACCTGGAGGAAGCTCGCCGCCTCAAGCGTGTCCTGAAGGGTGCCGAGACTCAGGCTCACATGAGATGTGTAGATGAACTCGATGATGTTCTTCAGGCCGACTGTGCTCACACCATGGAGCTTAATCTCCTTCAGCTCCTGCTCTCTCATGCCTCCTGCCAAACCAAAAGGGAGAGGGAAATGAGGGGAAAACATTAGATCAGTGAGAAGTAGTCTGCAAAGAGGAAATGCTTTTCGTTGGTAACCTAATTATAAACTAAAATTTACATTTACATTTAGTCATTTAACAGAGGCTTTTATAGAACAAACAGAGACATGTTTGAACAAAATATTACAAATATTAAAATCTTGGCCTATACTTTTCAAGTTGATAATTATTTCCATCCATCCGTCTTGTTTTAAACTTTCAGGCTTGGTTTTCTCAAGCGATTATCCAAGTTTGTGTACAAACAATACTACATCTAGTTTAAAATAAAACACTAAACACTGAAATCAATTGTTTTAAATGTTACAAGTGAATTTAGGCATAACATAATGTACAGTGAGAAAATGGATATTAATTCAGAGATTTGCTAAATTACAATTAAGTTCTATTAAATCATTATTGTTTCTAAAAAGTATATTTTGATTAATTTTAAATATTTTTAAAAAAATTTAAGGCAACTATTAATTAAAAAAATATATCATTTTAAAAATAAGGCAACAGAATACGCACAATCAAATATCCTATATCGACTGATACCAATAAATAAATTTAAAAAAAGTTTGATATCAGCCAATAACCATTTGTGTGATAATCACAAAACACAAGACATGGATAAACAGCAGGCTCAACCAGGATCACACAGATGATCAACAGCAAGTGTATGAAACATCACAAAAAAGGTAACACATTTAAACCACAGGGGCTTCATAAAAAACATTAATAGGGTTTGACAATACAGTTCCTCCTCCTGGATTTAATAAGACTAACCTGTGAACATGGCCTTGAAGTAGTCACTGGCTGAAGCCATGATGACCCTGTGGACTGGGAAAGTTTCGCTGCTGTCACCAGGTACCAGTGTCACATCGCAAAGAGTCTCATCACCACGAAAACAATCCAACCCCTGGGACATGGCAAAATTTGCCATTAATATATAGTATTTGCAGTGAAATCACCATTCTAGCTTTGTAAGTACACAGCATTTCTCTGTTTTCGGCAGTTTGTTTCCACCTTTTCTGATGTCTTTGTCTTACCTTGAGAATGGCAGCACCATGCTCTGTGCTGTTGAACACTTGTATTTGTGGCTTTGGAGGGGCAGTGGGCTTTTGAGCCACTGGAGGTTTTGGGGGGATTACAACTGGTTTTGGCGTAGGTTCTGGAGGTTTTGGAGCAGTCTCAGCAGGTCTTGGAGGAACCACAGTTGGAGGCTTGTCTGTTTGTGGAGGGGGTCGTGGCGGCTCTCTCTGCGATCTGCTTCCTATTCGGGAAAGTCTGCGGTGCAGTTTTCCTTCCTCTCCACTGTTGCTGAAATAAAGGCATATTTAAAACTTTGACAGTCAGATCACATGAAAGACCTATATTCCACCTTTCCTCTAATTTATAATAATATTCTGTAATAATTAGTAAGCATTTAGCTGACCATTTTTGTCAAATACTATCAGTTCACTAACTAAATGCATTATTTTATGTGCTAGTAAATATTTGTATTTTAACAGAAAAAAGATTTTTGTATACTGTATCACACATCTTAGTTGTCAACTAAGCCTCAACACGAAAGCACGTTTCTACTAGATAAACTAAACTATAGCTCTGAGATTTATTTGAGCTCTTATTTGTATTTTTGCAATAAAGCAATGAAGAAAATCTGAGAAATAAATAAATAAAAATGATTACAAAAGTACAAATTTCAGTTTATTACACAACATGACTGTCCAAATCGTCCTAGAAAGGCCTATGATGCAATAACTTCATAAGACTGTCAGAACTTACCCCATGTCTTTTGGGTCTGCTTCTTTGCAAATTTGCTGATTTTTTTTATTTCTGATAAAAAAAAAGACAACAAATGGTGGTTTCACCCGATCTGCAGGAACAATATTTGGATCAAAGTAAAAAAGTTTCACCAACAACAAGGTCTGAAAGGGGAAGTTAGCGCTGCCATCTATGTGCAACGAACACAAAGATGCCGTTTAGACAGACACGGCCTCTTCTATATATGTGTGTGTGTATAGAAAGAGGGAGTCTTTCTGTAGTTATGTTCACAAAAGTAATTGGCAGATAAACTTCAGCTGAATACTAAACTTACTGCTTACTACTAAATAACAGTACTACATTACACATTCTCTTCAAAGCACTGACACACAAATGTAAAGTTTATGAGTGGGGTAAATTTCAGGAAAGATGGACTACATAAAATAAAAGGAGCTTACCGAGATGTGGTGCTTTCAGAAGTGTCTTCTCATTTTAGCACAAAGCATCACGCTGTGATCACACTCAGTCGACACAAATGGGTATGTAGAGTCTGTTTACCACAACCTCATTGACTTCCTGTGTCACTTCTCTCTCACACACACACCCTTACATGTTGTTTCAAAACGTTCTATCTTCCTCCTTTTGACATGTTACTTTTAATAGGCTTCAGTTCAAGCCTTTGCATTTCGCTCAGCTGCATTTGCACTCTGATGTTGTGTTTGATACACATGAGGTGAACCCATAGCCGGTGTGAAAAGAGGAAGCCTGATAGCAAATCTGCATTTTTTTGGTGCTGCTTTAGCAGTTTACTGTTTATTTACTGTAGTGCCTGTAAAACAAACAATCTTTATGTTAAAGACAGAGTGAAAAAAAACAATGCGCACTTGAATATGAGATAAATGCATTCATTTGTACCATGTGTTTATTTTTAGAGGGAAAAATCGAGTTAACCTCTTAAAAAAGTAAGAAGTCAACAGAAAAAGTATAGCACTAATTGTCAGATAAATACTGACTTAACATATACCATCCTTCATTACTTCCGAGAATCTCGTAGTGTTTAGTATTGCCACACTGGATATTTTAATGTTCAATATCCATTCAGTACTGATGACATTATTTAATTTACATAAGATACCTTTTGGGCATTACTGACTTACTCAGTCCCGTGAATTAGTTTCTGCCATACAGTGGAGCATCTAAAGCAGAAAATAGGTCATTTACTAGATTATTATCTTCTGCATAACTGCTTTATAGTTGAAATAGAAGTCATAATTATGAGAACCGAAACATTTGAATCCTGAAAAAACAATTTTGCTCCCGTTTTTCTCTTTACTACAATAAAGCTGCTTTGCAGCAATTTGTATTTTAAAAAGCGCTATATAAATAAATTTGACAATTTCTGATTGGAGATTCATCAGGTACTAAAATAATTCACTCTTAGGCAAAATAGTGTAGAATTTATGCAGTGCCGTGCATAATGTTTACTGAAATAAAAATACTATTTTAAAAACATCCATACACTGTGAACATATGTAAATATGTCATTTTTGTCAAATGTGACTTAAAGCAACAGTAGTTTCTTGAATACATTTAGTATTAATAGTGGATAAAGTGGATCTTTGCTGTCAGTGGTAAAGTAGAAATGACTAAAGTCCTCTTTGCTGTTCAAAGTCTGGAGAACTGAATGAGGTTCCTGTTGATCTCAGCAACATTTCGGCAACCTAGCAGAATAAGAGGCGATTTGAAATGAAGAGAATTGTCAGACATCAAAACGTGACCCATTTTTTGTTGTGCGACACATGGCACATTACATTTTACATAGTGGACTGACCTGACAGCGCCATGGATAAACGAAACTCGTCGTGTAGAATCTGTAAGATCTCTCTGACTCCTTCCTCCCCCTGATCAAAACATACTGTATATGAACACCTTATCTGCACCAAATATCACGCGAGTATCTGACAATTTGTTAATGGCAAATTCAGTACAGGCTTAAATAGATTTTCAAGCATTAAAAACACTGCTTTCCACACAGTTACCTTGTAAGCAAGGCCCCAGATTGCTGGTCTGCCAATAAACACACATTTGGCTCCCAAGGCTATGGCCTTCAGCACATCATTGCCTGTGCGGATCCCTCCGTCCATGTAGACCTCGACCCGGCCCTGCACTGCATCCACTATCTCAGGCAGACAATCTATCTGTGTGACATGTAAGGTCAAGGTGTAACTGTCTGAATGGTGGGAATCACGTCTAAACTACTGAGACATGGATAGATTGCCTTACCGTTGCGGGCCCTCCATCCAGTTGCCGGCCCCCGTGATTAGACACAATTATCCCTTGGACGCCATGCTCTACGGCCAGCTCTGCATCCTCTTTAGTAAGGATGCCCTTGATGATTATAGGCAGCCGTGATAGAGACTGGAGCCAGCACACATCCTTCCAGCTGATCGACGGGTCCAGTGTGTTAGCAGGGATCCCGTATTCCTCCGGGGAGCCAGCCTGCTCCTGTAAAGGGAGCAAAGAGGGATTCATACAAACAGACATTACATAACAAGATACTGTATGCTTAAACTTGGTAAGCTATATTGCTTATACAAGCAGCATAAGTTCAAATTCAGCGTGCAACATTTCCCGCTACCACTCTGTTATTTTGTGGCCTTCCTCTATTTGCTTATTTCAAACTTTATGATGTAAACCCCCCAAAATTTTATGATCCCCTTGTGAGATATTTTTATATATAAAAACCCAGTTATACTGTAAGCATTACAAAATCTTATTCATTACATGAAGTCATACTATAAAGACAACGTTTCTTAAATTTAGTTAGCTCACAAATTACTAAAATATGAAAATATTTTGAGTTCAGTTCAGATTTATTTGTGAAGTGCTTTTCACGTGAAATATTTTTATAAAGCAGCTTAAAGAATTTTAATTTTAGTTTTTATATATATAACATTTGAATGTTAATTTGGTCACACTTTAGTTTGGGGACCAATTCTCACTATTAACTAACTATTAACTACAACTTTTGTCTTAATAAACTCCTAATTTGCTGTTTATTAATAATTAGTAAGGTAGTTGTTAAGTTTAGGTATGGGGTAGGATTAAGGGATGTAGAATATGGTCATGAAGAATATGTGCTTTATAAGTACTAATAAACTGCCAATACGCTAGTAATATGCATGCTAATAAGTAATTCGTTAATAGTGAGAATTGGTCCTTAAAATAAAGTGTTACTGTTAATTTGTAAAAAATATTAAAATAAATATTATATTAATTATGAACTTTTCTTCTCTCTCAAATTTTCTTTGCGACTCCTTTGCCAAACTTTGAAAACTCTTGTTTTACTGTATTCTACATTAAAAAGTGTGGAAATCAATACTATAATGAATAAATAAATATTTATTGAGTTAAACATATTTAATAAATATATTAAGTTAAATCAATATTATAATATACAAATATTATAATAATTATTGAATTAAACATATTTAATACATTTCTTAAGTTAATGCATTAACTTTGACAGCCCTAAAAATATTTTCCATAATCTTTTTATTTTCTCTAAAATTTTCTTGGTGGCCCAAAAACCCTTGCTTTACTGTATTATACATTTTAAATGTTCAAAAATTTAAAAATAAATAAATAACTGCCCTACCTGGAACATTCCCTCAAAGTTCTTGACCTTCAGGTGAGGTGGGAGCTTAAACTGGTTGCGTATGTCATTGCGGCGTTTGCCAGTGTAGGGCACATCCACTGTAAGCACCAGAGCTTTGTAGCCAAGTGCTTCCACCCTGCGCACAATCTGCTCCGAGAGCTTACGGTGCCGGTACAAGTACAGCTGGAACCAGCGGTAGCCGTTGGGCGCTGCTGCAGCAATCTCCTCCACTGAACAAGTGGAGTATGTGCTGGCTATGTAACAGGTGTTCACTGCCTCAGTGGCTGGGAAATGAAAGAAGAATGGAGAGATAAGATGCAAAAAAGTAAAACTAGTAGCTTCAAACAAGTTTCTATCTAGTGGCCAAAGTGCTGCATAACACAAGAAGTAATGAAACCCAGTCACTTCATCACACTCTCACCTCTAGCAGTGGCCAGTTCTCCCTCATGCCACGCAAGGCAGTGGAAAGCCGTGGGAGCAATTCCCACAGGGAAGCTTATCTCCATTCCCAGCACAGAGGTCCGAGTGTCATTGATCGACACATCACGTAAAATCCGCGGCCTCAAGCGGATCCTGAAAGAGATGACATTATTGTATGAGATTAGTTTAGTTAGAGATTACTCATAAGCATGGACCATAAAATTATATAGGGTAATACAAATATAGAGTATAATACAAATTTAAAGAGATAGTTCACCCAAAAATGAAAATTCAGTAATTACTCACCCTCATGTCGTGCCAAACCTGCAAGACCTTCATTCATCTTCAGAACACAAATGATGGTATTTTTGGTGAAAGCTGAGAGCTTTCGGACCCTCTATAGACAGCAACGCAACCATCACGTTCAAGGCCCAGTAAGGTAGTAAGGACATCATTAAAATAGTCCATGTGTCCACGACTTTATTCAATAATTTTTTCTCTTACTGTACCACGCATGACATGCTGCTGACGAAGGAGCCGGCGTTCTGAAGTAGAACCTGGATGTGCTGTGCCTTGTTGCTGTCTATACAGGGTCAGACTCAGAAAGCTCTCGAATTTCATCAAAAATATCTTAATTTGTGTTCTGAAGATGAACGAAGGTTTTATGGGTTTGGAACAACATGAGGGTGAGTAATTCATGACAGAATTTTCATTTTTGGGTGAACTATCCCTTTAACAGCAGTATAGTACCGTTTATAGGCCAGCAAGTTGTCATCTCTGGTGCAACAGTCATTAGCTCCAGCCTCATAATAGTCCCATGTAGCCTTTGAGAGGTGCTGCTTGGCATATTCCTCAAAATCATTCAAACAGACCATAGTCATGTCTACACAGACTCCTTCCTCACTAAAAAAAAAACAAACAAAAAAAACACACACATTATCATGACATCATCAATATATACACAACTGACATTATATAATATTGTTTTATCACTGACAGAGAGTTTGCATTCTTGCACCAATATATAAAGAGAAGTATGAACATCAATATTAGATTAACATTTAGATTATTTATTTTCAATGTCAATGAATATAAAATACAAATAAATCAATATACAATATTTTCTTGATATTTCTCAGGGCATTTTTACATTAGTAAATGTGGAAAAAATACATTTAAAAACTGCATTTACAAAATTGCTATAGAAAAATTTTAACATTTTCACATGATATTGCAGATAAGTGCTCAAAACCATTAAACAAATTACCTGCATTCAAACAGAATCAGAATATGAAGGTTTACACACCTGATTTTACAAATTTAGGTTGAATATTATAACTACATATTATTATTTGTAACAACTCTACTTTGAAAACAAAAACAAGAGACCTGTTTTACCTTTTCTGAAGGTTTAGACAAATTTAGGTCACAGCACAGTGGACTGCTTTGGTGCTTTTAGCCAGCTAACTTTGGCAGACAAAACACTGATTAACATTAAAGACTGAACCAAGAGGATGGAAACACAAGTGGGTTGGGATTAACTTTTGAACTCTAACTATGGGCCAGTACACTCTTAAAAATAAAGGTGCTTCAAAACGTTCTTCAAGCGATGCCATAGAAGAACCATTTTTGGTTCCACAAAGAACCATTCAGTCAAAGGTTCTTTAAAGAACCATCTCTTTCTTACCTTTTTGTAATCTGAAGAACCTTCTTTCACCACAAAGAACCTTTTGTGAAACAGAAAGGTTCTTCAGATGTTAAAGGTTCTTTATGGAACCATTTAGACAAAAAGGTTATTCTATGGCATCGTGAAGCACCTTTATTTTTAAGAGTGTACTTAGCTTTTACAAGATATTTTATTCCCTTACTGAGACTATATGATTACATAGTGCAAAAGAGAGTGAACTGAAATGTATTTTCATACTAATATTTGTTAGAAAAATTAATTTGTCAATAAACTTTAATAAAATTTTCATGAACTACCACTAAAAGTTAATAATTAAAGCAGAACACCAGATCTGTTCTTGTAGTCATCAGAAACCTATGACCTATGGACTTAATCCAGTACTGTTTTTGAAGGACTGCAGCAACCCAGTGTTTACTCATCCATCAGCACATATAAACTATGTAACTCTGAAAGAACCAGAAACAAACAAATACATACATTAGAATGAATTACTCACCTGTCTGGTCAACAGCATTGTAACTCTAACTCAAATCTTTAGCTATAATGGACTGGTATGAAAAAGCCTGTGTGCAATGTAGTTTTGCTCTGGTGTAAATAAATATAAAACAGCAAAAGAGAGCCATGACCTGGCAAGTTGGGGCCTGGTACTGGCCCTCTGATGTTTATTGTGTTTGCATTGACTGGAAATGTGCTGACCACAGAAAAAAACTCAGGTGCACGTGCACAAATATGTAGCCTTACTCACAGCTCTCTACATGTGATGCAACCACCTGCTCTGTCTAACTAACTAGTGAGATAGCAACAGCATAGTCTATTCAGAATAAGAACCTGTTGTTCAAATGGAATAGTCAAAACAAATTCTGACAGATGGCTAAAATGTATATATTTTTCTATTTTATGAAAATTTAGTGTTTAATTTACCTTGTTTAACAATACTGAAAAGGATGTGGATTCAATCATTTAATCATATTTGTACCATGTTACATTATTCCTTCAGGTAAATAAGGTATCTTATAAGTTAACAAAAAAACAATCACACTTTATCAAGGGTGGCCTCTGAGCCTTTTAAGTGGGGTAGCCAGAATTTATATGTTTTCAGGGTGTCAAACTGTTTTTGAGGGTGTAGTAAAGTAAATATGCTACTGAAAAATATGGGGTCAGTAAGGTATTTTTCAAAAGAAATGTAAAAAAAGTATCACTGTTTCCACAAAAATGTTGTCCAAAACAACAACAACTGTTTTCAGTATCGAAACAAATTTTCATGGGAAATATAATAAGAACAAACTGTATTGAAAATAAATATATTTTGAAAACAGAAAACGGTTATTTTATTTATTGTATTATTGTACAGCAGTGTATTAATTCATCATATTTTATATATAAAAATTAGGGCTGGTAAGCGATTCAAATTTTTTATCTAATTAATTACATGATGTGGCGATTAATTAATCTAATTAATCGCTAATTAATCGCACATCAAATTTGGCTGAGAAATTACTCCCAAAGGATAATTTAGAGTCATTGTTGTGTAAAGCTAACCTGTTTAAATGTGAACAAGGGATTTACAATATTAAAGAAATCCTTTATTTATAACATGTACATGAAAAATCGAAAAGATTAGACACAACTATGGGACACGGTCGTGCAGCAGCGAGCAACAGTAAAAGAAACCTCAAGGTTATAAATGTGTGAAATTGTATAGGGCCCCATTCCTGTATTTCGCCTGGGGCCCCCAAATCACTAAATCCGCCCCTGGTAAAGCATCAAACAGACATTACAAAAAGTGGCTTCAGCAAGAAATATTTTGTTTGATAAAATTTATTACATACAGGCCTACTCTTTTGGACTGTGAGAGTGAGTAAATGATAACACAATTGTCATTTTTGGGTGGGTGAACTATAAGTTTAATAATTTATTTTATTCATTTTATTATTATTACTATGGAAATATGAAATAATTTCTTTAATGAAATGACACTCTAAATAATAAACTAAAACTGCCAGTAGGTAGTGATAAATGTCTTAATGATTAAGCCATCGAGTCATTTATTCATTCGATTCGTTCAAATGGCTGATTCATTCAGGAGTGAAGTAATGGTTCTTTATGAATGGTCCACTGAATCATTAGGCTTGTTCGACTTAAAGCGGATCATCACCATCAGACCGATCGGTGTGTGCAAGAGCTATAAGGTGCGTTCGACTTCATGCGGCGCCGCGCAAACCGATCGGCGGCTGACTTGAAGCAGTGCATGCCGGTTAGAAATTATGTCCGACTTGAACCGGCGCCGACGCCACGTCACTGTCACGTGTGACATCAAAGTACCGCGATAGCGTTTCGAGAGCAGCCGGCTGACTCAACTGGTGCAGTTTTTTTTAATTTTTTTTATGCTTTATTAATTCAATGCCACAAGAACATGAGGTATTACATATTCACATGATCAAATTAACATTATTAGCTGCCAGAGAAAAAAAAGAAAAAAAAGGGAAGAAAATTACATAAAGTTCAATGCTTTCAGAGCATTACGTTTTCAGTGCTTTTTTGTTTTTTGTTTGTTCTAAGAGATTTACATATAATTTAAAGTCATTTATAAAATGTGCAAAATTTGGTTTACATTGAGCCCACTTCTTCTTATGTATATGGAATTTTCCTAACAAAATAAACAAATGTATAATATGTTGTTCTTTACAATTCAAATTTTCGTTTTCTGTATAAAAAAGTACATCAAATATACTAATTTCTATCATACACTCTATTTTCCTGTTAATATAGAATTCCAAATCCTTCCAAAATAATCTCGAGTAAAAACAATGAAAAAAAAGATGCAAAATAGTTTCTTTTTCAAAACCCGAAGACTCGAACCAGGTGAACTACTTGACTAATTCCAGTACAGAACCTATAGGATGTTGCGCATGCGCGACCGAACGAATCACTCCCCGAGACGACTCGTTCTTCCCGAGTCACATTAAAGATTCGTTCAAAATGAACGAATCGTTCAAGAACGACCCAACACTAGTCTGTAGCCGTGCTTCAAGTCGAACGCACCTATAGACTAGAGAGCAAACGGCTCCTTATGCTTTTGAACCGCTCTCGCGGTACTTTGTCATACACCGATCGATCTGATGATGATGATCCGCTTCAAATCCAACGCGCCAAATGCTTCACCCAATTCGTTCAAAACGTGCATTAAGAAATGAAATGCCGCTGCGTGTTGCTCGGAGACGAACAGTTCTGCTTTGTCTTTATTCGTTGGCAGGCAAAATTGAGCAAAACAGACAACATTGCGTCTAAAATAACACAATATTAACTTCTTACTTACTGAACTTACTGCTCGTGTGATATTGCTTAACTATATGATGTAAATATGAGACAAACCTCAAACGGGCATTTTTGCCCCATATCTTGAATTTTAGGGACATTCTTACTACGTTCTCTAGGCTACATCGCACAGTTGCCCTGCCTCATATTTGCCATCAATCAGCTCTATGAAATGTCAGATGACCCACATAGGTCTGGGGCGGGGCAAGTG